CGAATAGTTGTGAAATGTTTTTCCACCACTTTACTTTATCATTGTCAAGCACAAGTTTTGGTTTTGCCAAACTCCTGAGTCCCTTTACTTCTTTTTAAAATTTACTTGAATTTTTACATATAACTATCTGAGAACAGGAAGTAACATAGAAAGGTGAAAAGAACAAGAAAGGCTAAGGAGGGGGGTGTTAAGTGTTTTCAGAGGAAACTGGGGATCTCACAGCCTCCCCTACACTTGTCACAAGCTTACATGCTGAGAGAGCCCACAGGTCACGTAAATGAGACTTGGGCTGGGTATAAGAAATCAGGAGTGACGGGGCTGTGGTGCACTGAAGAGCACATTCCCTCTGCAAGACAGCTTATCTCCAGCCAATTGTTGTCCTGGGAGAACATGAGCTCAGTGTTATTAGATGGCCTGAGTTTTTAACAAAAACCAAGAAATCTGGATGCTATATAAAATTTCCAAATTTTAAACATTGGTAAATGCCTCATTCGGTTTGTGCTATTGAAACAAAAATACCTGATACTGGGTAATGTATAAAGAAAATAAATTTATTTCTCACAGTTCTGAAGGCTGGGAAGCCCACAATCGAGGTGCTAGTGGGTTCAGTTGTCTGGTGGGTGTTGCTGTCTGCTTCCAAGATGGCACCTTGTTGCTGCATCCTCTAGAGGAGAAAAATGCTGTGTCCCCCACATGGCAGAAGGCAGAAGGGCAAGTAAGCCAATGCAGTGTGGAGCCTTTTTTATAAGGGTCTGAATCCCATTCTCAAGGAAGGAGCCCTTGTAATCTATTCACCTCTTACAGCCCCACTTCCTAATACTATCACATTGGCAATACTTGGATTTTGAAGGGTACCCATTGAAATCCTAACAAGGAATTCAAACAAAATATATCCGTCTGCTGTCTTTGGTCAATGGGCTGCTAGTCTGTGTCCTATACAATTTGTTGCATTTGTACCATCTGCTGCTGACTAACCTCCCCTTCTGCCAGTCATGAATCTTTGTTGGTTCCAGTGTAGCTTAGCTGTGCTTCATCCTGCCAGCTACTCTAAGTCTTCTTCTCAGTCCTAGAGTTTATCCCCTCCTTAAAACTCCTCTAGGCTGGTGCAGTGAAGCATGCCTGTAATCCCAGCTGCCCGGGAGGCTGAGGCAGGAGGATCCCAATTTCAAAGCCAGCTACAGCAATGGCGAGGCACTAAGCAACTCAGTAAGACCCTGTCTCTAGTAAAATACAAAATAAGGTTAGGGATGTGGCTCAGTAATCGAGTGCCCCTGAGTTCAATCCCCAGTAGCAGCCCCCCCCCCCCACACACACACCAAAAAAAAAAAAAAAAAACTCCTCTAATTCTCATGCAATCTTTACTTTCCCTCTCACTTTCTTTGATGGCCTTTCTGAATGTCTTCCTCAGCCTATCCTCTTTTTTTTTTTTTGGTACTATGGATTGAACTCAGGGGCACTCAACCACTGAGCCACATCCCCAGCCCTATTTTATATTTTATTTAGAGACAGGGTCTCACTGAGTTGCTTAGTGTCTTGCCATTACTGAGGCTGGCTTTGAACTTGGGATCCTCCTGCCTCAGTCTCCCGAGCAGCTGGGATTACAGGCGTGAACCACCGCACCCTGCTAGCATATTCTTTTATTTAACAAATAAGCATTGATGAGTATTATGTGCTGGGCACTATTCTAGACAGAGGATCTTATAAATGAATAGGACAGGAAAAGCCCCTTCCCTTGTTGAATGCATATTTTAATCTTCTTTGTTCCCTGTTTCTCCACAGGTCTTGCCGGGAACTCCCAGGTTTCCCTGCACTTCTAGCCTCTAGAGAATATAATGGATCCTTAGGAAAGGTGTCTAGCATGTGAATGACTCCCCTCTGTCTAAAATGTGAGTACTTCCTAATGGCAAAGACCATATTTTCTGCTTCCTGAAATCTCACAACATTTCCTCAGATGACTTTGAACAGTCTCTTAACATGTCCACTGTTTGATTAAGTTTATTTCATGTAATAGGAGAAATAATGGCCGCTCATCACTCTTTAAAGATCTTTCTTTACTCTGATTTTCAAAATACAAAATGTATTTTGAAGCATAGGTTAACTGAGAAGAAATAGCTTGAATTCTGGAAATCACTGGGGACTTCACAGGGTCTCAGTTGCATGCCATGAGGTTCATGGAGATGCAAATCAGAGAGAAGAAAGGGAGAAGGGAGATCCAGGCTGCTCTTCTCCTCTCAGCAATGATGTTCCAAGAATGCATGGCTTTATCTTTGTGCTCTGAAAGATTAAGGCTGCTCCTCCTACCAGACAGGTAGAGCACAATTTTGAAACCATCCCCTCAGGGCTTCCTTAAAGGGTTAAATTATGGTAAGAGTGAGACTTGCCAAGGGACTAGTGATTGGCCACTGTTGATGTACCCCTGGCCCTGACCAAGACAGCTAAAAGAACAACAGGGTGATGAAGTTTTTGCATCTGGGTCCACACAATGACTCAGAAATAGACATCTGTGAATTCTGCTAGCCCAGCATCCAATCTCCCTTCTTCTTGAACAGCACCCTGATTTTCTTAAAGAATTGTGTTCACTTTCCTCTTATTGCATGTGGTTTTAATAAAGGTCACAAATCTCAGATCTTCCCATTAGAATTTTTCATCCTTTCTGATTGTCAAGTTGGTTCAATGAGATTACTAGTGGAAGTTTATGAAACAGATAAAGAATCTTTATTTCTGCTGACAATATGACAAATTTCCAATATATGAGACCATCATGCAGACTATCAGCTGAAGAGAGACAATATAGCCAATACAAAGGGAAATAGGAGTGTGTGTGTGTGTGTGTGTGAGAGAGAGAGAGAGAGAGAGCGCGAGTGCACGAGAGGGGTGTCTAGATCCTGATCATATTGATTATTGAACCCCTGGATCCATCTATGCATGAAGCAAGAATATCTTTTGTCTTTAAAGTTAAATGAACTGACTTCCTTTGTCACCCACGCAGTTTGAAATAAATCTTATTACTTGGAATTAAAAGGGTACTACTTGGACTTTGTCATTTAACTTAAGCATTTAATAACATATATTGAGCATCTACTATGTTCTTTGTGTGTGTGTGTGTGTGTGTGTGTGGTGCTGGGAATCAAACCCAGGGCCTTGTTCATGCTAGGCAAGTATTCTACCACAGAGCTACATCTCCAGCCTAACTTTTTTTTTTTTAATTTTGCAATGCTAGAGATTGAACCCAGGGCCTCATACCTGCTAGGAAATTGCTCTACCATTGAGCACATCCCCACATGTTTTTCTTTAATATTTATTTTTTAGTTGTAATTGGACACAATACCTTTATTTATTTATTTCTATGTGGTGCTGAGGATCGAACCCAGGGCCTCCCACATGCTAGGTGAGCACTCTACTGTTGAGCCACAACCCCAGCCCTCCTCATGTGATTTTTAATGAAACATTTGAAAGTAAAAAAGATCAATTTTACCCTAATGTGTATCTCCTTAGAATTAGGATAGTTTCATTGTCATAATTCAGGAGATTTAATGTTGATCAAATATCATCTGATATACAGTCCTCATTCAAATTTTGTTGATTGTACCAATTTTGAACATAGTAATTCCTTCAGTTCAAGATTTAATCCATGATCACACATAGCGTTTAGCTGTCTTTTCTCTTTACTCTTCTTTAATCTGCATTTATCAGCCTTTCATGTTTTTTTTTAAGACACTGTCTTTTTTAAAGAGTATTTTCCTATTGTTTCCTAAAACATCTCTGACTTACGGTTTGTAAAGTACCTTCTTATGATTTGATCATGATTATGTGTTTGTTACAGTTTAGATCTGAAATGTCCCCCAAAGGCTCATGTCTTGAAGGCTTGGTCCTTAGCTGGTGGCACTATTGGGAGGTGGTAGAAACCTTAGGAAGTGGGGCCTACCTAGAGGATGGAGGTCAGTGGGGACATGTTCTTAAAGGCTGTGTCTTGTCCCTGGCCACTATCTCCCTCTCTGATTCCTGACTTCCATCAGGTGAACTGCTTTGCTCCACCATATCCTCTCCACCATGACATTTCCCTCGCCAGAGGTCCAGAATCAGTGGAGGTGAGTGACCATGGGCTATACTTCTGAAACCATGAGCCAAAATAAATCTTTCCTCCTGTGATTGATTTTTTTCAGGGATTTTGTCACAGTGACAGAAAGCTAGTATAGTGCTCTTGGCAGGAAGACTGTGTAAATGGTATGTGTCTGTCTCAGTGTACCAGAGCTGCCATGACAGTAACTTTGATCACTTGGGTGAAGTACATAGTACCTACCAGATTTAACTCACGGTATATTTCCCTCTTTGTAATTAATAATGTAAGAAGATGCTTTGAGTCTGTGTAAGTATTCTGTAGCTCAACAAATAATGACTGAATAATTTTAGGATCCATTCAATATTCATGCTTGAATCAATTAATAACTTAGTGGTTGAAATGGTGATTTCTTTTTAAAGTTCTATTTTTCCTTGTACATTTTTAAGTTTACTTTCTACTGTAAATAACCCCCCCATTCTTTTATGTGTTTATTTTATGTGTAAGTGTGGACTCATGGATCTCCTCCCCCCCAATATCTTTATTTAATTAATTAATTTTTTTAATGGGGTGCTAAGGATCAAACCCTGGGCCTCACACGTGCTAGGCAAGCGCTCTACCGCTCAGCCACAATCCCAGCCCGGACTCATGGATCTTATATTTTAATTTTTGAAATAAGTTCAAACTTGAAAGGTATGATAATAGAACAAAGAGCATTCCCCTCCCAAAAAAGTTGGTGACACGATGACTAATACCCTGGCATATCTTAGATAATCAAGGATTTTCTCTGATATAACCATAGTATAACCTTTTAAATCAGGAAATTAGCATTGATAATAACTGGCATTTAATTCATGTTTGTTCAATTATTTTATTAATATCCTCATTCCCCCAAAATCTGACTCAGCAATACAAGTTGCATTTAATCGTTACATTCACTTACCTTTCCTTGACTTGTATGACCTTGATATTCCCAAAGGTCAGTTATTTTGTAGAATGTCCTCAATTTGACTTTTCCTGATGTTTCCTGTTTCAGGTTTTGCATTTGGCAGGAATCTCACAGAAGTGATGTGGTGTTGTGTATCTTCAATGTTTCCTATGGGTAACATACAGTTTCAGTTTGTCTAACGGGGTGAGGTTAACCTATGTTACTCAGTTAAAGTGGTGTCTGCCTCACAGATTCTCTGCTATAGTCATTCTCTTTCTCTATGTACTTAACAAGTACTTTAGACCACGTAAATATCTGCTCCTTAGCAAACATTCACCCACTACTGTGACTATTGATTGATATTTCTTGACTGAATTTATTATTACTGTGATGGTTGATTAGTGATTTTATAATTCCATCATTCTGTATTCATCAATTGGCTTTCTCCTTTAAGGAAAAGGTGTCTTAGCTATCATCTACCTACCTATTTATTAGTTAATCATTATTTGCTTAGTATCAATATAGGCTCATGGATTCCTATTAGAACATGTTGAAAGTTATTACTAATAAAATATTTTTTTTTAATTTTTATTGTTGGTTGTTCAAAACATTACATAGTTCTTGACATATCATATTTAACACATTTGATTCAAGTGGGTTATGAACTCCCATTTTTACCCCGTATACAGATTGCAGAATCACATCGGTTACACATCCACTGTTTTACATATTGCCATACTAGTGTCTGTTGTATTCTGCTGCCTTTCCTATCCTCTACTATCCCCATTCCCCTCCCCTCCCTCCCATCTTCTCTCTCTACCCCATCTACTGTAATTCATTTCTCCCCCTTGTTTTTTTTCCCTTTCCCCTCACTTCCTCTTATATGTAATTTTGTATAACAATGAGGGTCTCCTTCCATTTCCATGCAATTATCCTTCTCTCTCCCTTTCCCTCCCCCCTCTCGTCCCTGTTTAATGTTAATCTTCTTCTCATGCTCTGCCTCCCTACTCTGTTCTTAGTTACTCTCCTTATATCAAAGAAGACATTTGGCATTTGTTTTTTAGGGATTGGCTAGCTTCACTTAGCATAATCTGCTCTAATGCCATCCATTTCCTGAAAATTCCAGGATTTTGTCATTTTTTAGTGCAGAGTAATACTCCATTGTGTATAAATGCCACATTTTTTTTATCCATTCATCTATTGAAGGGCATCTAGGTTGGTTCCACAGTCTACCTATTGTGAATTGTGCTGCTATGAACATTGATGTAGCAGTGTCCCTGTAGTATGCTCTTTTTAGGTCTTTAGGGAGTAGACAGAGAGGGGGATAGCTGGGTCAAATGGTGGTTCCATTCCCAGCTTTCCAAGAAATCTCCATACTGCTTTCCAAATTGGCCGCACCAATTTGCAGTCCCACCAGCAATGTACAAGTGAACCCTTTTCCCCACATCCTCGCCAGCACTTGTTGTTGTTTGACTTCATAATGGCTGCCAATCTTACTGGAGTGAGATGGTATCTTAGGGTGGTTTTGATTTGCATTTCTCTGACTGCTAGAGATGGTGAGCATTTTTTCATGTACTTGTTGATTGACTGTAGTCCTCCTCTGAGAAGTGTCTGTTCAGGTCCTTGGCCCATTTGTTGATTGGGTTATTTGTTTTCTTATTGTTTAATATTTTGAGTTCTTTGTATACTCTTGATATTAGGGCTCTATCTGAAGTGTGAGGAGTAAAAATTTGTTCCCAGGATGTAGGCTCCCTATTTACCTCTCTTATTGTTTCTCTTGCTCAGAAAACCTTTTTAGTTTGAGTAAGTCCCATTTGTTGATTCTATTTATTAACTCTTGTGCTATGGGTGTCCTATTAAGGAATTTGGAGCCCGACCCCACAATATGTAGATCGGAGCCAACTTTTTCTTATATCAGATGCAGAGTCTCTGCTTTGATATCAAGCTCCTTGATCCATTTTGAGTTAACTTTTGTGCATGGTGAGAGAAAGGGATTCAGTTTCATTTTGTTGCATATGGATTTCCAGTTTTCCCAGCACCATTTGTTGAAGATGCTATCCTTCCTCCATTGCATGTTTTTAGCCACTTTATCAAATATAAGATAGTTGTAATTTTGTGGATTGGTCTCTGTGTCCTCTATTCTGTACCATTGGTCCACCCGCCTGTTTTGGTACCAGTACCATGCTGTTTTTGTTACTATTGCTCTGTAGTATAGTTTGAAGTCTGGTATCCCTATACCGCCTGATTCACACTTCCTGCTTAGAATTGTTTTGCTATTCTGGGTCTTTTATTTTTCCATATGAATTTCATGATTGGTTTATCTATTTCTACAAGAAATGCCGTTGGGATTTTGATTGGCATTGCATTAAACCTATAGAGAACTTTTGGTAATATCGCCATTTTGATGATGTTAGTTCTGCCTATCCATGAACAGGGTATATTTTTCCATCTTCTAAGATCTTCTTCTATTTTTCTCTTTAGGGTTCTGTAGTTTTCATTGTATAAGTCTTTCACTTCTTTTGTTAGGTTGATTCCCAAGTATTTTATTTTTTTTGAGGATATTGTGAATGGAGTGGTTGTCCTCATTTCCATTTCAGAGGATTTGTCGCTGATATACAGGAATGCCTTTGATTTATGCGTGTTGATTTTATATCCTGCCACTTTGCTGAATTCATTTATTAGCTCTAGTAGTTACTTTGTAGATCCTTTTGGGTCTGCTAGGTATAGAATCATGTCATCTGCAAATAGTGATAATTTAAGTTCTTCTTTTCCTATTTTAATGCCTTTAATTTCTTTCGTCTGTCTAATTGCTCTGGCCAGTGTTTCGAGAACTATGTTGAACAGAAGTGGTAAGAGAGGACATTCCTGTCTTGTTCCAGATTTTAGAGGGAATGCCTTCAATTTTCCTCCATTCAGAATGATGCTAGCCTGAGGCTTAGCATAGATAGCTTTTACAATATTGAGGTATGTTCCTGTTATCCCTAGTTTTTCTAGAGTTTTGAACATAAAGGGATGCTGTACTTTGTCGAATGCTTTTTCTGCATCTATCGAGATGATCATATGGTTCTTATCTTTAAGTCTATTGATGTGGTGAATAACATTTATTGATTTCTGTATATTGAACCAGCCTTTCATCCCAGGGATGAATCCTACTTGATCATGATGCACAATCTTTTTGATATGTTTCTGTATCCGATTTGCCAGAATTTTATTGAGGATTTTTGCATCTATGTTCATTAGATAGAAATATTGGTCTGTAGTTTTCTTTCTTTGAAGTGTCTTTGTCTGGTTTAGGAATCAGGGTGATTTTGGCCTCGTAGAATGAATTTGGAAGTTCTCCCTCTTTTTCTATTTCCTGAAATAGCTTGAAAAGTATTGGTATTAGTTCTTCTTTAAAGGTTTTTTAAAACTCTGCTGTATACCCATCCGGTCCTGGGCTTTTCTTAGTTGGTAGTCTTTTGATGGCTTCTTCTATTTCCTCAATTGATATTGGTCTGTTTAGGTTGTGTATATCCTCCTGACTCAATCTGGGCAGATCATATGACTTAAGAAGTTTATCGATGCCTTCACTATCTTCTATTTTATTGGAGTATAAGGATTCAAAATAATTTCTAATTATCTTCTGTATTTCTGAAGTGTCTGTTGTTATATTGCCTTTTTCATCCCGTATGCTAGTAATTTGAGTTCTCTCTCTTCTTCTCTTCATTAGCATGGCTAAGGGTCTGTTGATCTTATTTATTTTTTCAAAGAACCAACTTTTAGTTTTGTCAATTTTTTCAATTGTTTCTTTTGTTTCAATTTCATTGATTTCAGCTCTGATTTTAATTATTTCTTGCCTTCTACTACTTTTGCTGTTGTTTTGCTCTTCTTTTTCTAGGATTTTGAGATGAAGTGTGAGATCATTTATTTGTTGGTTTTTTCTTTTTTTAAGGAATGAACTCCAAGCGATGAATTTTCCTCTTAGAACTGCTTTCAGTGTGTTCCATAGATTCCGAAATGTTGTGTCTGTGTTTTCATTTATCTCTAAGAATTTTTTAATTTCCTCCTTGATGTCTTCTATAACCCATTGATCATTCAGTAACCTATTGTTCATTCTCCAAGTGATGCATGATTTTTCCTTCCTTCTTTTATCTTTGATTTCCAGTTTCATTCCATTATGATCAGATAGGATGCATGGTATTATCTCTACTCCTTTATAATTTCTAAGAGTTGCCCTGTGACATAATATATGATATATTTTTGAGAAGGATCCATGTGCTGCTGAGAAAAAAGTGTAACTGCTTGATGTTGAGTGGTATATTCTATATATGTCAATTAAGTCTAGGTTATTAATTGTATTATTGAGTTCTATAGTTTCTTTATTCAACTTTTGTTTGGAAGATCTGTCCAGTGGTGAGAGGGGTGTGTTGAAGTCTCCCATAATTATTGTATGGTGATCTATTAGACTCTTGAGGTTTAGAAGAGTTTGTTTGGTGAACATAGCTGCACCATTGTTTGGGGCATATATATTTATGATTGTTATGTCTTGTTGGTGTATGGTTCCCTTAAGCAGTATGTAGTGTCCCTCTTTATCCCTTTTGATTAACTTTGGCTTGAAATCTATTTTATTTGATATGAGTATGGACACTCCTGCTTGTTTCCGAGGTCCATATGAGTGATATGATTTTTCCCAACCTTTCACCTTCAGTCTATGTATGTCTTTTCCTATCAAATGCATCTCCTGTAGGCAGCATATTGTTGGATCTTTTTTTTGATCCAGTCGTCTAGCCTGTGTCTCTTGATTGGTGAGTTTATGTCATTAACATTTAGGGTTATTATTGAGATATGGATTGTTTTTCCAGCCATATTTGTTTATTTATGTTTCTTAACATGATTTGTTTTTCCTCTTTGATTATTTTTTCCCTTTACTGTACTACCTCCCTCTTTTGGTTTTCATTGTTATTTTCCATTTCCTCTTCCTGTAATGTTTTGCCGAGGATGTTTTGAAGAGCTGGTTTTCTAGCTGTAAATTCTTTAAATTTTTGTTTATCGTGGAAGGTTTTAATTTTATCTTCCATCCTGAAGCTTAATTTCACTGGATACACAATTCTTGGTTGGAACCCATTTTCTTTCAGCGTTTGAAATATGTTGTTCCAGGATCTTCTAGCTTTCAGTGTCTGTGTTGAAAG